TGGTAGCCCAGGTTGGCCTCGAACTCACAGAGATCCGCCTGGCTCTGCCTCCCGAGTGCTGGGATTAAAGGCGTGCGCCACCAACGCCCGGCTCTTTTTTAAATTTTTAAAATATTTATTTATTACATATACAGTGTTCTGTCTGCATGTGTCCCTGCAGGCCAGAAGAGGGCAGCAGATCTCATTATAGATGGTTGTGAGCCACTATGTGGTTGCTGGGAATTGAACTCAGGACCTCTGGAAGAGTAGCCGGTGCTCTTAACTGCTGAGCCATCTCTCCAGCCCCTCCTAACAACATCTTCATCAATATTCGCTTGCCCACTTTCTCTCCATTTCCTTAAATTCCATTCGATGTGTGTTCTGATTATCCTTCACCTTTTCTTCCATGTTTCTCCCCTCTCCTCCCCCTTACTTGCGAGTCTGAATACAAAGGGAAGCCTGCTGGAATCTTAGGTGGGGAGCTGTAGGCTGGCTTCTCTCTCGGGCTCTCATCGTGAGCAATAAACCCCACAGCAGAGCGGCTGGAGCAAAGGCACCTAAACCCCACCCTGCCCTGACGTCCACCCGTGGGGCCTTTTAAAGACCCCTTGCCAGTGCTCCTAACCTCTGAGCATCTGTCCAGCCCATCCCAGAACCTTCTTAAGCCATCTCTACAATCAATTGTCAGAACCACTATGGATAAGATATGACGCCTGCCTTTCATACAGTCCCTGGCCCTGGCATGACCAATAGTGACACACGTTCCTATCCAGCCGTAAACAAAGATATAGATTAGCCAGAGGACTAAGCAGGGTCTCGCTCAGGTTAATGGTCCTCCTTGTCACAGAAAGCTCATTAACCCTGTGGTCTCCATTCCCATCCCACGTCCTTGCTCTGACCTTTGACCTCACATGAAATCCAAGCACATCCCATAATGCCTTCGAGATGTGCCCTCTTAAAGATAACAAATCCACACAGCCTTCTCACCTCCCATCACAAACAACCTCCTACTCCAAAACACTTTCCTTCTCAAAGGCTGTATTAGTTACTTTTCTGCTGCTGTGATAAAACACCACAACCAAGGTAACTTGTAGAAGAAAGAGTTTGACTTACGATTCCTGAGGGACAGGAGTCCATCATAGCAGAAAAGCATGGTGGCATGAAGGCCAGAGCAGGAAGCTGAAAACTCACATCCTCAACCACAAGTATGAATCAGAGGGACCTTTTCATCTCAAAGCCCACTCCCTAGGAATGCACTTCTCCAGCAAGGCGGCACCACCTTCACCTCCACAACAGCACCACCAACTAAGGACCAAGTGCTCAAATGCCTGAGATTAGAGGGGACATTCTCATTCAAAACACAACACGGGCCAATATCCGGTTAGGCACAGCCTTCGTACACAGTCATCCTGTCCATCGCCACTGTGTGTGCACTACTCATATACAGGGACACAAACAAACAGCTGTTAGAAGCTCCACACAGCTCGGGGTCTCTGCAGTATTCTGAGCAGCGGTCAGCCGGCCACCGGGAGACCAGTAGGAGCGAGGGAGAAGGGACTGCTGTCACGGATTGAGGTCCAGCCCCTCGATAGCCTTTTCCCAGGGAAAAGAATCTAACAACCAGCTGAGGAATCTAATCATAACGCTATGAAATGAATCTATGTGCACGAAACTCTTTAGTCCATTCACTTCATTCTTCTGAGTCAGTTCTCTCTCTGCACAGCTTCTATTCTGCTCTCTTACTTAGCTCCTTTCTTGCCCGATTTCTCTCTACATTTTTATGGTGTTCCCTCCATGTGCTATTTTAATTCCTTCATCTAGTTCTGCCCCATCTAGGTTCTCATCCATCTAGTCCTTTCCCATCTCCTTAGTTCTTCCCATCTCCTTCTTCCTCATCTTGTTCTCCCCCATCTTCCATCTCGTTCCTCTAGTCCTCTCTTCTAATCTCCCCTTCCTCTTTCCCCAGTCCAGTTTAAATACACATAACACCCACAGATCTCCGACTCCCCTGCTTTCTGGTCGGGCAGGGCAAGTCTGCTCCATGGCTAGGCAACCTGCATCCCAGCTAGATGTACCTGGTAAGTAAAAGCCCTTTACTTCTGGGTTAACGGTTAAAGGGAGATCTAGAACTAAGATGGCCCTTGGAAGGAAGGTTAAGCTTAATTAGCACATCCACCAGGCCTGGGCAGTTGTCTCATGGTAGATTTTTATCTTCCCTCAGGAACTGACTGATAGTCTGGATGCTGCAGTCTGTTTTCAGAAAGTCTGGGAAGAATCTCAGATAAGATTCTTTCATCCGGGAAAGATCCTGGCCAGATGTTGCTAATGACGATAATTACAAAAAAGCCTGAAATTAGGGGTCTGGCTGTGTGACTGCTTTTAGTACAGTTGGAAGATATATATCCAAATACTTTAATTGTATAGGGGAACTTGTGCCCAATGAATGATCAAACACACTGTTCTTAGAAAAAGAATTGAATGGAAAAGCTGTGATAGAACACGAGAAATTCATTGCAGGAGATGGCTAGTAGTCAAAAGCCTCTATCACCAAGACTCTTAAATCTTGGCTTTCTCCTCTGGAAGTGCCCTGGGCTTCTTCCAGGTGTACCTTTGTCCTAGTCAGCTGAGTTCCTACTTCATATTTCTATGGCTCACAGCAGACTGCAGTGACTGGTATCCCAACACTAGAGGCACCTCCTCTACTCTTGGCACAGCTACCCTGGCATCTAAATGATCCCAGACTTGCCCTCTGACCCTGCCTTTCTTTGGCCATCCGGGTGACCCATGTCTACAGCATCACTCAGTGTAGTGAGGGTAGAGTCTGTAACACACTATATAGACCCAGCCAATCAGATAAACTAGAAATGATAAAGGTTAGGTACCAGGCACATACCAATCCCTTTAGATGTACTTATTTAATTCCAAAAGACTCTGAGATAGATATAAATATTCTAGTTATATAGATAAACTTACAGAGAATTAATCATAACCTTAGAAAGAATCTGTTACCGATTGTGGTAGTTTGAATAGGAATGGCCCCCACAGACTCATGTGTTTGAACACTTGGCCTATAGGGAGTGGCACTATTAGGAGGCATGGCCATGTTGCAATAGGTGTGGCCTCGTTGGACGAAGTGTGTATTGGGGGGGGCAGGCTTTGAGGTCTCCTGTGCTCAAGCTATGCCCAATGTGGCACACAGTTCACTTCCTGTTGCCTGTGGATCAGGGCATAGAACTTTCAGCTCCTCCAGCACCGTGTCTGCCTGCACGCTGCCATACTTCCCACCATGACAATAACAGACTCAACCTCTAAAACTGCAAGCCAGCCCCAGTTAAATGTTTTCCTTTGTAAGAGCTGCCATGGTCATGGTGTCTATTTACAGCAATAGAAACCCTATCTAAGACACCAAAGTACCTTGAAAGAAAATACAGCAACAAACACATAACATGTCCACGCACTAGACTGATCCACCTGCTAAGCAATCTCAGGGCTAAGGCTGTTATACGCAGTCTCCAGGTGACAAAATAGACACAGAGCTGTTCAACTGTTCAAAGTCACGAAGCAATGAATGGAAAACCCAAGCTTTAGACACAGTTCCAAAACACAGGTTCTTAACCACTGTGTCTCCTCTGCGTGTGGCTCAGGGCAGAGCACTTGCCTCCCATGCACAAAACGCTGGGTTCAGTCCCCTTACTGAAAACGGAAACTAAAAACACTGTAAGGCTGCTGCGCTATGATGAAGGCCAGATATTTTGTGACCCAAGTCACAGGAAGATGCTCAACACAGTGAATGGACGTGCGGAGGAAAACTTACGATATGCAATGATTAAACCCCTCATCCGCCTCTGACTCAGACACTGAGAGGTCCAGAAATGTAAGGAGAACAGCTGCCAGTCCTGCTGCTCTCTAACGTTTTATACTTTGTGGATTTTCAACCACATGTGTATGATACAAGAAAGTGTGTGTGTGTGTGTGTGTGTGTGTGTGTGTGTGTGTGTGTGTGTGTGTGGTGTGGGGGAGAGAACCCAAGGTTTCCCGCATGCAAGTTCTAAATGTTTCCAGTTTCCTCCTTACTTAGGCACCCCACTTCTCTGACCTGGTCATTCTATGTTTCTCCCCTTTCAAAGTTGTGGTCAGGTGGCAAAATTGCACGCAGGACAGAAACTCTGGACTGCTTGGCTGTTTTTATTTTGTTCCTCTTTTTAATATTACCTTTCTATTAATCAAGAGGCTGGAGAGATGGCTCAGCGGTTAAGAGCACTGACTGCTCTTCCAAAGGACTGGGGTTCCCAGTACCCACAGGGCAGTCCACAGCCATGTGTAGCTCCTCAGCCCCAGGGGAACTGACAGCATCTGCCAGCCCCTGTGGGCAAGTTAACAGGCAAAGGAATTGGTTTCAATATGGTGCTCTTCACCATACTTTGCTCCACTTCCTTCCCCTCAGGCTCCGTCCTCCCCAGGGCACACTGCTTCCCCCTCTGCCTGGTTCCCTTCCTGTCCCCCCCCCCCCAGACAACCATCACTTTCTGCTTTTATGTCGGTCGGATTCCATTGCCATCTGTCCTCGCGTTTCCTCAACTTGACACACACTAGTGTCATTTGAGAAGAGACCATCATCAGTTGCCACCACCGGATTGGCCAGTTGGAATTTTCCTGATGGATGGCTGATGTTGAGGATCCAGCCCATGATGGACATGCCAGCGAGGGTGGGTGGCCCTGGATGGAGTCAGAAAGCAGGCTGAGCAAGCCTCGGGGAACAAGCCAGCACGCAGCATAACGCCACAGCTTCTGCTTCAGTTCCTGCCTCCAGGTTCCTGCCCTGACTTCTTTCGATGGTGGACTGTGATGGGAAAGTGGAAGCCAAATAAACCCTGTCTTCTGCAAGCTGCTTTTGGTCATGATGTTTCATCACAACAGTGGAAAGCCAACTGAGACACCCTCTCCTTTTCTCCCCTTCCCTTAAGACATCATGTCTTTTCACGATCACCCTTCTCGTCCCACGCCCGTGCCCCTGCACACACTTTAAATCTAGGCTTTGTACGAGAGAAAACAAGCAGCCTTGGTCTTTCTGCAATAGGCTAATTTAGTCCAACATAGTAATTTCCAGTTTCATCCATTTCCCTGCAAATGCCATAATTTCATTTTTTCTTTATGACTGAATAAAAACCCCATTGTGTACATGTACTACATTTTCCTTAGCCGTTCGCGTGGTGATGGGCATCTAGGCAGGCTCCCTTTCCTGGCTGCATGGATGTGCAGGTGTGTCTGTGGTATAGCCAAGGCAGGGCTAGCTAGTCATACGGTTCTACTTTCAGGTTTTTGAGGGATGGCCATACTGACTTCTGTGATGGCCACACGTGTTTCATCCCCCAACCCAGGGTGTGTAAAGTTCTCCTACATCCTCCCCAGCACTTGCTGGCCCCCTCAGTTTGTAAGTGTGAAGTCCTCCATCCTTGCTGAGTCTGAGGCGCAGAACTGGACAGGTGGGTTTTGCTGGTGGGTGGGTGTGGGCTGTGCAGGAAGAGAAGGTAGGAAGAATGGGCTTCCAAGCAAAGGAGAGTCACCAGACCCTGACATCTCCTCCAAACTCCCCACGGCCTGCTTCCTGGTCATGCCGTCCTGACCAATGGGAATGCCTTCCACCCTGCAAAGACGGCCACACACGGCGTGGAGCTGGAGAGATGGCGGCGTGGAGCTGGAGAGACGGCTCCCGGTCAAGAGTCCAGGCTGCTCTTTCAGACCTTGCTTCCAGCACCCACGTCTGGCTCACAACCACCTGCAACTCCAGCTCCAGGGGATCCGATGTTTCTGGCCTGCTAGTGCACCTACACCCGTGTGCACACACCCACACAGACACACACACACATACACAGAACTTAAGATCTTTAAAAAAATATCAGCGGCTCGTTTGTCTTTTACACTTTGCAGTTTACAAACTGGCTTTCAAGGATTTTACCTGTTTTGATAAAACTCAGAATGTAACTGGAACTGGGCCGTAGGTCAGAAAATTCCCAGGCAATGCTTTCTGCTTTTATTGGGGCGAGGAAAGGAGTTGATGGGGGAAACCCAGGGAAACTGGAGGAGATGACCATGAGGGAAGTGACTGAGAGGGAGGCTACTGGAGAGACACTGTCAGACCCACCCTGCACCCCCCACTCCCCCCTCACCCCAGACAGGGTTTCTCTGTGTAACAGTCCTGGCTGTCCTGGAACTCACAGAGATCCACCTGCCTCTGCCTCCCAAATGCTGGGATTAAAGGCGTGCGCCGCCACTGCCCCACCCACGCCCCCACCCCCAATCCCCGGTCAGACCCACACTGTTTACTCCCAGCTGCTGAAGCTGAAACTGGCTACTCAGACTCGGTCCCACAAAGAGCTGGGAAAAACATTCAAGTTCAAGCCTACAGGAGGCATGGTTGATTGGGAGCACAACACTGCCACCTGGTGGCAGTATGCACTGGCTTTATATGAATGAACGTGTGTATCCATTCACAACTCAGGTATTTTTTTCCCTCAGAGATGACACAGTATAAGGCTTTGGGAGATGCCACATCTTAGTTGATTGCAAGATATAACAAACACATAAGTAAAATGAACCACTTTAAATCCACAGGAGCCTGGGGAGATGACTCAGTCTGTGAAGTGTTTGTCGTGCAAGCATGAGAATCCACGTTTGATCCCAGAACTCATGTAAAAATGTGTGGTGGTGTGTGCTTTTAATCCCAGAACTGGGGAGGCGAAGACCGTGAGTCCCGGGGCTCACTGGCCAGCCAGTCTAGCTTATTGGCAAGCTCAGGTCTCAGTGAGAAACCTTGTCTCAAGACACAAGGTACACTGAAGATGACAATGTTGACCTCTGGCCTACAAAGAAGTCATACTGTACAGTGCAAAAGTTAGATGTTACCCACTGGGGGGGAAAAAGCAAAGTACCGGACTTCATTAGGATATTAAGTAACTTATTTAATATACATTCTTTCTGGCACCCAAAGTAAGAGCACATGCAGACTCCAGGAACTGTCCACCAGCGTTTCTTTTCCTTTTTTGAGAGGCAGGCTCTCTCACTGGCCAAGCAGGCTAGGGTGGGTAGCTAGTGAGTTAGCCCCAGGGATCTGCCTGACTCTATCTCCTGATGGTTGGGATTCCAAGTGCATACCACCATGTCTAGATCATTTTTATTTTATTCTTTGAGACAGAGTCTCACTGTGGAGACCAGGCTGGCCTCAAACTCATAGAAATCCTCCTGCTTTGGCCTCTGAGCGTTGGCATTACAGGTGTGCACCACCATGCCCAGCCCACATCTGGCTTTTGACATGAAAGTTTGGGAGACCAAACTTGGGTCCTCATGCTTGTCACACCAAGCATCTTGCCAGCTGAGCTTCCTCTCCAGGCTGCAAGAGCCTCGTCAAAGTTAGCATTAGCCAGAGAGGGTTAGCTGCTGGAGAGGCAGCAGGCAGGAGGCTGTCAGAGCCCAGGGCATGGTGGCGCTCACCTACTGATCCCAGCTCTGCCTGTCACACAGGCCCGAGTTACCCCATCTCACCCTCGGTGTGTTGTTCCATCTCTAGTCAGAGATCTCGACCACATGTTGACCACAACTGACATCTCACCCTGGAAGATGTTCTTACCGGATCAATCCCAAACGGGTAGGGATTTCCAGAATACACTCCTGGGATGGCCGGGTCCAGCTGCAAATACTGACTCTTTTCCATGACATGAGCACTACAGAGACAAAGTGGGAGACAGAAGTCACAGACGGATAATCAGTCAAGGGCAGAAGTACTACAGTGTCATCGGCCATGAGCTTTCAAGTCAACCAAAGCCCAGGTGCTGGCCAGGCAGCAGTTTGGTTCACTCAGTGGCTCCATGTTTGGTCACAGAATAGCTAACCAGGTGTCAGGTACTGTCCTGAGCCCTGGGGCTTCTGAAGCCGCCCTCTTCAGAAGTACGGAGTGGGCCGAGGGGAACAGACAGCAAAGGAGGAGAGGAGAGAGCTGGTCCGTGCGACACCTGGGCCAGTCCTGATGGGCAGGCGGACTTTTTACACACAGACCTTTCTCTGTGAAATCCAAGCCCTCCCCCAAAAACAAAGGAGAAAAAAACAAAAATGAGGAACTCGGTCTGGCTACTTCTGTCCCCCAGTGGCTAGGTTACAAATCTGTGCTGCCGTGCCCAGCATGCCCATCCTTTGAAGTGGATACCGGGGATCTGGATTTGGGTCTGCATGTTGGAACAGCAAGCCCCGTAAGAAATGTTCCCAGCCCCATTTTTTTTTTAAAGCTTCTATAGGAAACCCAAGGAGTATGTGTTTGAAATTAAGAACAGAAGACTGACCACTGTGACAAGATGCCGAGAAAAGCACTCTCCTCCTGCCGCATCACTGTGCCATGGTCTCAGACAGCGGCTTGGGACACCAGGGAGCCTATTTGGGCCACTAGCATGCTGCCTTCCTTATTGGGCCATACACCCAACCCCAGGGACCACAGGAAGTCTCCAGAAAGACAAGTGTCCGAGGAAGCAGGCCCAGGGCCCAGGCTCTGCCTGAGAGCACTTCAGCTCTGGTGATGGAGGACTGCAGCTCTCTCCACCTCCCCAAGAACACGGCTCTGCTTTGTTATCTCAACACGGGGGCGCGTGCTGAGCACTGTCCACCCTGACTCTAGGATGTCCGAAGAGCCTGGAGCCGGAAGGGCCGTTTGCAGGTACATTAAAGACGTACACTTGTACCCACTCCACGGGGGGGGGGGGGGGGGCACACAAAATTTCATGTAGTTTTGGGAAATCATACAGATTTAATATATTTTGAAACAGTTCTTCAAGGCGTCTCTTCAGGTGCCTGTTCATTATAAGGGGCAGACCACAAATACAGCCATGTTGGAGCTTCAGTCTTAGCTTTCATTTTTCTTCATTACTTTATCATTGCCATCCTCTACTGGTCAGAACTCGGGCCTTCCAGAAACGCCAAATGAGACCTGTCAGAACCTCCACATCTCAAGCTAAAAATTGTCACCATCTGGGCTGGGGATGCAGTCAGTAGTGGCCCACTTGCTTGTACCAGGACCTGATCTCAGTCCTCTTACCAAAAAACAAAACACCTTCCATTTTCTCCAGAAAGTTTAGTTAAGCCTCTAACAACGGTTAACAAATAAAATTTCCTGAAGAAAGTTCCCTCGAGCTAATCTCCTCACACGAGACTGCTTGTTTTCTCTCTCCCCTCTTAGATGTCCCCTACAGGCTTGAGTGGAAAAAATAAAACCCTTGGATTTCCTTTAATAGGAATGTCATAGGCTGGGCACAGTGAGGCAGAGGCAGGCTGATCTCTAAAAGTTCAAGGCCAGGGCTATGTAGTGAGACCTTGTCTCAAAAACA